ACTTTCATTATTTAGGACATCCAATAGTATTCTCCCTCCTCGATTTCAAATTTGGTATTGATATATAGTTATTTGCAGTTTTAATAGCACATTCGCATATTAAATTTAAAGTACCTTTTTTCAAATGAAAATGAAAGAAAAAAAACTTGACACAAGATTCGGCCGTGTCTCGATGTAGTATCGCTCGTATAGTAGTATCGAAAATAAATATGGACATATATTCGCATACAATTGTGCCACAAAATTTTCATTACTAACCCTCATCAGTGCACAAAAATCATAAAAATCATTAAAATTGCCTTTTTGCCACTTGCGCCTGAATTACTTGCCTTTTTCTCTCCCCATTGTCTTTTCTGCTCCTGTTGCTGCAGTTGTTTCTGTGTTGGTAGTTGGTAGTAGTTATCCTGCCGAAATTTGTTTCTTTTTTATCTAATGTGATTATGTAGACAAGTCCTTGGAGACTAACAGGCCAATGCACACAAAATACACCCACTTCGCCACTTTGGAAATTATACTCTTCTGTGTGCATTTATATTCATATTTGAGCTCAGTTTTTGCTTACTCCTTTAACCAAAGCGATTTTGATGTTTTTATCAAAACAACAGATGTTTTGCTTTATTGCTTGCAATTGGTGGTGTTGTTGTGCGCATACTGTAGCATTCTGTAGCATTCTGTAGCATTCTGTACTGTTGTACTGTAGTACTGAAGTACTGTAGTATGTGGGTGAGTGGGTCGACACATCTCTGTTGTGAATGTAGCAAAGTAATAACGTAACAAGTTCAAGCAGAATCACAATCATTGTCTGTATCAGGCACATAGATCCATATCTAGGCGTAAGTGTATTTTGATTGTTACCGCCTTTACGGTATTTTCATTCAGCGCATTTTGCTATTGTAACCAAACACTTAACGATAAGATTAAAGGAAATATGAAATTCCAAGTTAAGCTGTAAGCACATGCAAGATTGACAAAAAGCATTAACATTGAAACAATTACATCAATTTTTATTGCTGATGGCATGTGGTTGGTGGTTTGCTGGATGTATATGGTGGTACATATTTTTTATTAAAATTAAAGTAAAATTTTGCATTCTTTATTACATGATATTTACATTTTCGAAAGCAAATCAGTTAATTAAGCTATTTTCAAGGATTCGCCCAAACTCCGTCTTCCACGTCTTCGTGCGCAACTTCAAACGTGCTCTGTTATCTTCGGTTGATTGTGGCTTACTTATTTCAGTTTGTAAGTGCTTGTGGTTGTTGCGAGTCAAAATACCACAAATTAACTTGATATTATAATAACACTTCAATCCGAAGTAAAACAGATTCTGAAATATGTAAATTAGACGCCAATTTTCAAGTAGTCTTGTGGGAAATGTGTTGGAAAGGAAATATGTTGCATAGGGGAGTAATAGAATAATAGAAAATTTTCAAAGTGAAGTGATGTTGGTCTAAATCTGATAGAATAGTTAACATATATCTTAGCTTACCTCTTTTAAAAACTTGAATTAATAAGTAATATTAAATGCTTTACTTAGTCATAATTACAATTAAGCATAATTTGATTTATAAATGTCGACTTATTGATAATTTTGTTAACATATCTTACAATAATTAAATGAACGCCTCTACTGCAACTTTATTTTGGAATGTCGGTAGCACGTGTCTCTTAAAAGCATTTTAAAATAACTCAAATATTTATTTCTACCCGAAATAATATGTTGAATTGACATATGACAGGGCGTATATACCCTTCTATTGTTGTTAGATAGCTTAATTTAATAATTAAATGTGCCACCACTTTCACACCACTATGTTATTAATTTTTATTAAACCTTCCAAATATAAATATTATTTATTAATTTCAGACGAAAACCGTGATATTAACATGCACTCCGAAGACGACATCAAACGCCAAAGACTTATATATAACGGTGATCAGATCTATTCAAATGTGAGTTTCGATAAATACAATTTTTTAACATAAATTCTTTAGTTGACAAGATATAAATAATATATTTTTTAAATTTTTTATCAGTATTATATTTTTTATATAAGAATTAAATAGTACGTAACTTTATATGCTTAAAACGTTAAACATATTTATAAAATGTTTTTATTTTTGTTAAAATAATCCATATATCGTATAAAAGTGTTTTACGAAGCTTTCTTCATAAAAGTGAAGTGTTCACACCTAAAAAGAATAAATGTCATTTATTAAAGATGCACATCATAAGGTCTATAAGATACATTCGAGTGTAAAGACGACTTTTTATGAATAGGAATTTATAGAGATTTTAGTTATTGGGATTTGATTTGACACCTTAAGATTTTCATCTTTTCAGAAAAACACGCAAAAGGAAAGCGTTGTGCGGATGTATAAGCTATGCAAAAGTGTTGAACCGGTATATTGAAGGACAATCCTCAAATTTAGTGAAAATGAATTATTTTGAATAAATATTTTTTTTTCTTGCCCAAATTAAAAAAATTTCTATTTATTTTCAATAAAAAAACTGTCGAGTATAATTATAACCGACAATATTTTTTTTTTTGTTATATATAAGTACGTTCTCCAAGTCAACTCAAAAGCAATAATATGAAGAAAATTCAGGAAACTGAAATAAAAGTATTTCTCGAAATTAAAGACTTATACTCTCTGGTTCAAGAAAGTATTCAAGTGTGAAGTACAACTTTCGTTTGTCAAAGAACTATTACGTCACTTTAAATCTACACATTTTTAAATGAAACAAATTTTTTAACTCTTTAAAAGTATTAAAGTCGTTTATAGTTTAAATTTTTTTGGTAGACTTTTTTCGTTTCAATAACAAAATTTAATACAACTATTTAGCATATCTAATTTAAAAAGTAATAAATAAAATTAACAAGATTTTTTGAATATTGAAATATAAATTTTTTTCAATATTATATTATTCAAAAAAATATAGTATATATAAGATAATATGGTCCGTTAAAATAGGGTTCGTAATTTTTTTTTAAACCCAAGGACAATGTGAAAGTCATATTAGCCAATTTAATAAATTAAATATTTATATTTTATTTATAAAGAGGTTCTTTTGAACAGTAGCGAGTTACTTTTATTTATATTTATAAAAGTTATTATTTTTATTTATAATTTTATATATATATAATAAATATTACTATAAGTAAATAAATAAATACATTAATATATTCTCGTTCGGACTCAATATTTTAACAAAAATATTTTTATATCGTAATATGAAATGCTAACATTACTAATATATTGTATATTCTATCTTAAAATAATTCCTTCTTTGCTGTTTGTAGTTGACGATATTCTTCTATAAAACCACCACATCTCGTTTCATATTAAATAAAATATATAAGTTAGTGTACAGTGTCGTTTCTTAGCTTACATAAAGAATATATCAAAGTTTCAGGACCCCTCTTCTTATTTTAAATATTGAATGATGATGATGAAAGTATTTTCAGAACCAGTATGGAATTGACAGGAAGGGCATCATTCAATATTTAAAATAAGAAGAGGGGTCCTGAAACTTTGATATATGCTTTATGTAAGCTAAGAAATGACACTGTTTTCGCCTATATTATAGCTTAACCTGCTATATCCATCTCTCGTTAGACTGATTCGCTTTCTCTATGAACATAGTATGTTTTTCTTCAATAATTTTAAATACTTTTATCTGCAGAAAGCTCCAACTTGCCTGTTACTTCTATTGATTTTTTTTAAAAATTAGGCTTCTTAATCTAAAAGATACTGCACATTTTTAAATTGTATTTATTTTTCAGGCAGTTTGTAATCAAAATGCATTTGCAGTACGTAATCATAATCATAATCATAAATCGTTAGTAGACCAATTTCACATGCGAAGCATATAACTTGACCTGCTTATGAGTAGGCGAAAAGTTCTTTTGATAATAGAACAACAATTTTTCCGCATTCAGGAATATGTTTTTCTCCGCACACTTGGTCTGGATTAATTAGAGTTGACTTGATCAAATATACTTCATTCATATTCATATGAATATCATCAAAAACAGTTTATGTTTGTCTGAGGCCCCAACTTGTTTGTTTAATATAGTGTGTAATAAAGTCTGTTTCCAGTAATTGTTAAGTACTTGTTAGGCATCCTTATATTTTTGCGTCATATTACGTATGGGATGATATTTGTTGTTACCATCCCATACTGGCGCCTTACTTTCACTAAGTTAATCAAGTATTAAGTTTTTATCTATAGATTGTTTATCCCGTTACAGGATTCATAGATGGTAATCAGACTTAAATAATTAATCTGAAATATATCGATAGATTTTTTAAACTAAATTGCGCAATTGAAATTAATATAAGAAATCATTTGATCCATACAATTAAGGCCTGCTTTATTAGCACTATAATATAAAATTGTTTCAGGTTTCATTGTTGTTTCTGTACAAATTTTGGTGTAGTGCAGTGTGTAAAGTAAGTTTATACACTTATTTTTTTTTTTTGCACGTAGCTACAAAGAGAAACTAAGTCTTCGTGACATCCAAAATTGGTTGAAAGAATTGGGCGTCAAGGATACTCTCTCATTTCATCGAGGATGCATTTTTTATTAGAGTGAATAGTTTCAACAAATGCTAAACCAATTTTAGACAATCGTTTGGCTCCTTCCAATGTTGTGAAGAAGTTGTCTGCAGTAATAGTACAGCCGTTGTTAGTACACATTTTTGCGAGTTGTAACATAACGTTTTTGCTTTAATTTATTTGATGTAGTATATCCTCGACCTGTATATAATTTTCCCTGTTTTACCTCCTTGCATACGGAAGGGATGTGTTTGTTTAATATCAAACTGAATAAATTGTGTCATTGTACGGAATCATTTCTAAGACATAGCTGCTGAATATAATCGTAAAAACCACCTTCAGCACTCTATAGTTCTATTTTAGGTGCATTCTAATTGTCGTCTTCACTGTCGAATATTTTATATGGTTTATTTTGATCATAAGTAGAAAATAGTTCGATTTCTTCATCTTTTCTTCATCTAAAAATGTCTAAATCACCTTCGCGGCTTCACGAATTATATGAACATAAATTTAATATATATATTTTGTATATATACATCAAAACATTCATATAATTATCCTTCCGTAGGCTTTATCGTTCCTATTTTCAACGTTTTTGTAGTATGGTACCAGAAATTTGAAATCTCTAGTTAAATAATAAATGTATATAACTTTCGTAAAAATTCAAAAAAGGTCTGGCCAAACCCATGCGCCTTACGTAGTTTACTTAACTTCTTAAGTACTTCAAGTAGTTAATATAGAAAATATATGTCTTTTAATATTTTATACAAGTTATTTTATATCTCATTTCTCTTAGAGTAAATAGAGAATTTCAAATTATAATTAATGCTTTTCACTAATATTTTATTGCAGATATGGTCAGGTAAATGGTGCATTAAGGATGAGCATAAACTCTTGTCGGAGTTAGGAAACTTAACAGCAAACAGCGCCACATCTTATTATGATACTCATAACGGATTTTCTACTCCAGCAACGGGAAATACAACTGACTCAATATTGTACGATAGTATAACAACAATATCACAAAGTCAAGGTTCATTATATACGCCACCAATTGGAGCACCACTAGGTAAATACAAAAAGGCTGTGTGAAAGTGTTGTTAAATGCGTTTATAAAGTTCAAATATAATTCACATCCATCATTGATTCCCTTTTTGAAATTCTAACATTTTATTTGTTTTTTTTTTATTTTTTTTCGGTTTTTTTGGCATGTTCTCATTGTTGAATATAAATGCAAATAGGCAGTGCTACCCTTACCCCTTTGGTGCCCATTAACATGCAAGATCTGAAACTTAATCCAAATTCCCATGACCAGAATTCGTCACCTTTTTATACAGGTAAGAGTTAATAGCACAGTGAAAATTGAAAATTGAAAATTGAAAGCACAATCTCCCTTAAGAAAAGCTCAAAAACCATGTACCAACAATGACTATTGTAAGGTTCTTATAATAATTTAAGAAAATATATAAAAAAAACCAATTCACAAATTTATGTTACATTATAGTAGGCGTTAAGACTAACGAACTTGAAAACATTTGTACACTTATATAATGTGACATAGGTAATATATACCGACTGTTCTTTATTATTATGACTTAAATCTGAGGAGTGATTCCTTGTCACAAGAAACGAAATAAATCATTTGAGGAGAATAGGTCATTGTTTATATTTATTATGATACAGATTATCAAAAAAATTTTTACCCAAAAAACGTTACCTATAAAAACCTCAAATTTTCTAAAATAACATATAAGAACAGCTGAAATGCCGTCCTAAATTAAATTCATCCAAATAACAATTTAGTCATTTTGTAGAAAGATGAAAACTGATTTATATGTTATTTGGATAAACACTATTATTTATATTTAGCTTCTTATAACTGAAAGATTTTTCGATAGTTTTCTTCAACATTCCGTATGTAAAATATGTTAAGAAGAAATACAACATCCTTCCACGGTTTTCTTCGTTTCGCTAACCAAGGGATCATCTCTTACATTCACATGCACAAATTGTAGATAAATATTTCCTTATTTAAATATAATAATTAGTATATAATTAATTGAACTTCGTTAAAATAAAAATATTTTATTGGTTAAAAACATTTATGCAGCTATTGCCATAGAAAATAGTCACTATACTACTTTAGCACATATGGATAATGTAATTAGCTCCCCAAATACACAACCCTCCTCAAATATAGTAACAAATTCAATGGAGGTCATCAGTGACTTGGGTGTATCTCCTCCAGGACTTATTGCAATAATTGATGAAAATAATTCAACAGTAAATAGTCGGCAAAGCAACAAATCTGCATCAATAAGTGCAAACAATAGGTCTGAATCTACGCGATTTTCAAAATATAAAAATAATGTGATAAATGAAATCGATCGAAACACCACATCGGAACAACAGCAACAACATGTACACCAAAATCAAGTTGACCATCACTCACACCTACTACAGCAACAAGAGCAACAAAAGCATACAACGAACACAGTAGACATACCCGCTAACAATAATAACGATTTAGATAGCTCCAACGTAAATGGCTCACAGAACCCGCAACATCATCACAGTCGGCAGCATTCACAGAACACTTCGACTCCTCTTATATATTTACCGGCAACTAATAACACACATACGCCTTGTATCCCATCAGCGGAAGTTGCTAGTAGCACTAGTAGCTATACGACTATGCTGCCTAGTTTTAGTCATTACTCTTCAGGCAAGTTCAACTCCAATTTACGAAGTAAATATCGTTTCTGCGTTCACTTAACGAATATGCAGGAATCAAGCACTCATAAATTCTATCATAATATTTAATTATGCACATAAAAATATATTAATAGTATAAATATTTGGTAAACGTTTAAGGATTCATTAAGCAAAACCTTATTCTCATGGTGGCACCACGGTAGCATTGACTTAAAACACTTTATCATTTATCATTTAATATTTTTTATTTTAAGTTTTAGTTCATTTTTATATTAATTTTTAAGATAAAGACTGATTTTTGTCTTTAGTATTCATCAACTACGTGTTTAACAGATATGTTTCCTACATACACTTGGAACTAAGTCTTGTTTTATAACTTGGATTTATTTTTAAATACTACTTCACCAAAACCTTATATAAATTTCGAACTAATTAACAATATGGCTCGATGCCGATTTCCGGGGAATGTCGGTTTGACAACAGACTTTAATAAAGACAGCTATTTTACGCGACATTTTTCATTGCACTGTTTGTCAATATAGCTTAGCTTTCAATATGTCGTTTTGAATATGATTTCCGGCATATGTCCTCCGCGGCTACGACTTACATGGTTCATTCGATCAGTCAAATTTTTGACTATTTTTTTCAATAAATGGTCGTATACGTCAATGGTGGCATAAGCATTGGTTTCCTGCAAGAGGTACTGTTTTGTAGGCATAAACCAATGGCTTAACATAGCCCTATAAAAATTATTCGAGAGGCGTTAAATCGCAAGAACGAGAGTGCCAGTTAACAGGACCACTTCTGAAAATAAAGTCGTTACCAGTTACCAAATTGGTTTCGCAATAAATTGATTGGTAAGTCCGCTGAGTGATAAGCTGCGCAGTCTTGTTATAACCAAATGTTATAGATTGATTAAATTTACTTTTATAAATTAATTAATTTAATTGATTAATTTTTGAAAACAAAAATTTAGTTAACATAGCATGGCTCAATAGCGCTCGCCATTCATCGTAACGGTAGCATCTTCCTCATTTCGAAAGAAATAAGGACAACATAATGTGTAAACCGCAGCAAATTGTCAATTTTAATGAGTGCAATGGTGATTCATTAACGGCTTGAGGATTATCTTCGTTCCATATTATTACTACACACTATGCACTCTATGAACTTCGCGAACAGATTTATTTTTCCAAAGTAAATTTCTACAATTTGAAAGCGTTGTCCTATGTTAGTGTACGATTCATGATGATTTACCAATCCTTTGACATTCTCAGTTGTTAAACCATAGTTATCGATATGGATATTTCTCATGCAGCTTAAAAAACACTTTATATATGAATCACATATAATCATATAAAATTATAAATGAAAGTAGACAAAACAATTTTTTTCGATTAATTACTTAAACTTTAAGCTCTTAAATATTGTGTAAAATGTGGCATGATCAGTGATCACCGACTTCTTACGCCATCGCTGATTTTATAATACTGCATGAATTATTTACTACTCTATTATATCCTTATCCGGATTGAAGTAATGATCTTGTTAAGTGAAATCATATATTTTCAGGACAACATGTTTTTTCCAATAAGGATCAGATAGGATTGAAATAAAATTAAAGAATTAGCAAATAAGTAATTACATAATTTTGAGTTATGTTACAAAGTGGTGTAAAGGTTTGAATACTTATTTCTTAATAACATAAGACAGTTGGATAGTGTCGTCTGTACCACAAAATAATTAAAAATATCTATGTTTGCTTTCGTTACCAATATCTTTATGGATTACTTAGGTTTATTCTTATATACAATGGATCTTGAAGTGACCTATTTTTTCATAAGTTCCTATTCCCGTTAATATAATGTAAAAAAAATTATAGATAATTTCTTTAACACATTTAGACTAACTTTCAAAAAATTGCAATGCTATGTGAAGTAAGTATGTGAATTCAATACGAGATTATGGGTGCTGTCGTACCCTCGTACATTGCTTTTATATTATTACAAGAGTGTAAACTATAAAACTATAAAATCTAGTAGAAAATATAATGAATACTTCTATCATTTTTAACATTTGTAACAAAATAGCTCTTGCACTATTGCACATCTTTTAAATGGTATTGATAATAAAAGTTAAAAATTGCACAAAATATATTGTTTATAAACTTATTGTGTTAAATAAATTAAATACAATTTAATGTTTTTTAATATCAACAGCATGTGGATCAGTTGTGCCTACTAGCGACTACGCATATAGTACAGCAGCATATCAACAATACGGTGGTGCTTATGGATCATATGGTTATAGTTCCGGTAGCGGATTACTTAGTAAGAATAGCAATAAAACAACTAAACGTTAATGGCAATTTTGTTGATTTTTTTTTTTTGCAGATTCATCGTATTACTACGACGGCGGCAGCAATCAACCCGCAACTAATATCAATCCTGATATTAGATCGCCATTAGCCGCAACTCGAGCGAATTCATTAGCGTCGGCTGCATCTCCAACAGGCAGTGCATGCGCTAAGTCAGAATCATCTGACATTTTCCTTGTCTAGTTTTAAAACTGACTCTTATTAACTCCTACAATACCCTTGCTCATGTTTTATCGCTGGAAGTTCCATATATAAGAGTATAAGCCATATATATACAATAATCACGCAACAACGAAGTAAAGGCAATTAAGTACCCATTATAACTAACAGAACGCATTATAAGCATCATTTGATATTATACTAAAATTTATCCACCATCTTGTGACTAAAACTGAAAAGAAAACAGACAACAGAAAACTGAAAACAGAAAACAGAAAATAGAAAACTGTGTAAAAGGCGTGTAAAAGATATTTCTTTAAATATCGAATATGAACATATAAATTTGATTACTAGTTTGTAAGGAGAACGTTCATTTTAAGTACAGAAACCAAATATTGCTTGGATATAAGCATTAACTGAGATTATCTATATATTAGCAAACAGAGATGAATTAAAACATATGCGTAAGGCATCTATTACAATAATCTTACTATATTTATACCGACATCCACAATCATCAGTTCAACTTGTCCAGCAGTAACCAGTGATTTCGTGTAAATATGTCACGGTAAACGAAGTTACATAAATACTCTTTCTAAAGTCTAAACAGTCGCAAATATTACTCGTAAGATCCTCCGCGCACAAAAATGTACATAAACTTATTCGTTTACTTAAACTTTCCTAGACTAGAAATGTACGGAAATACTTCAATACTTCAATACTTCAAATGCATCAGCGAGTGCAAAACATTTTGTGATGGTTGAATACAAATATTTTTTGAAAAATATCCACAGATGTTCGATATTTTTAATGACTGATGCAAACCACGATTTATCAACTGCATATTTATCGCATTTGTAACTAATATCTAATGTCTAATGTCTAATGTCTAATATAATCGAGGATTACTATTAAGATACAAGTTAAAACCAAAAATTAAACATAGTTTTTAAAATTTTAATTGAATTTAATACTTAAATTATTTTTTTTTAATAAATAGACGCTAAAGAAAATATTTATTTATAATGTTATAATTAGGTTTTTACAAAGAGTTAATGCAATTATTAATTTAATTATTTCTATTTAAACATGTTATATATAAGTTGGATAAATTTTAAATTTGTATTTTTGATATTGTTACGTCACAAACTTTTGTCAGCACAAATATTACGAATTAAGACCAAAATTGAAAACTTAAATTGTGTAATGAACAAATATTACAAAATTTCTATGGACGAAAAAAGTATTCAGAAAAATTTATTATTTTCTTAAATATGAAATAAAGTTGATAGAAAGTGCACATATCAACAACATTGCGTATTTGTCTGTGTGAGTTTTAATTAAATAAATAAAAATAAGAAAAGGGGTAAGCATGGACTTTGCCGAAGCTTAGATAGGTTTTATGAAGCTTTTAGATACCTTTTGAATCTGCATTGAGATCTCATTTATAATATAATATATACATGTAAGATTGTTAGTATAATAATCTATATTTAATTGATTCAAAGTATAAAGCGTATTAAAAATTAGAATAATAAAAGTTGTGTCGGCTCTTCAATCCCTCAAGTAAAATTAGCTGCAACCACTCTGGCTTCTCGCAACACACTCTCACTTCTCCTGGCAAACTGACACCTCTTAACTTACTGACGTTTGCCTGGTTTGCCGCTGCTTAGAACTGCTTAGTGTTACCGCTTACATACATATGTATATAATGGGTATGTTCCACAAGCTACTCATAGTAAAACTCGAGTAAAACACAAGTAAATACTAACTAAGAGCCTGACATAAATAAAATGTCATATTACGCTCTTTACACAAATTTTCATGGAACAGCTTTGTGTAAAATCTGGTAAGAACACCAGTGCCGCGCGAATAAACAATACAAAAATTTAAATTCAAACCAAAACAGCTGATTCACATAACATAAATTTTGCTTGAAATAAAATGTACGAGTAAAGTCTGTGTAGCATTTTCAAATTTCGACAGGGATGTTACGCTCTATCAGATGCTCTCATTTACGCGAATATTTGCTGGTGGAACGCAAATAGTAACTCAAAGTTACTACGAGTTACTGAACAAACCTAATATAAAATATTATATGACTAATAAGCGCTGCTATAAAATTTTTTTCACACTTGTATTTCGTTATCTACTAAAGTTGAAGCAGCTCTTGGTGTGATATTTGTTTGATTATTTCGTTGCATCAAGAATTACGGTTTGTTCCATTTCGATGCCAAAAATAGATTCATTTTTCATAATCTTTCCGATGGTCACATTTTAACCATGGAAGTAACTATGTTTAGCTTCTAAATTTGAAGTAAATACATGGGCGTACCCAGGGCCGAAATTAGGGGACCCTGTATACAGTATTAAAATGTTATTCAAAACAATAATAAATAAAATTTTGAAATCTAGGGAGGCGAGCCCTCCCCACCTCCTCCCCTACATGTGTACGCCCATGCGTACATACAATAGAAAATGAAAAAGTTTTTTTTATAAAGGTCTGTGTCTAATACGGCAATTTATATAGCTATTAAATCCGAATCGATATAACATAAACTAAATTTTGCATATAGTACATTCTGTAAAAAATTTGATTTGAAAATTTTTATTGTAAACGGAGAAAACTTATAACTGACTGTTCAGTTTATACGACAGCTATAGCAATTTCGAACAATCCAAGGAATGATCAAAAAAATTATATACGTAAAAACGAACGGGGTTATATGAACTCAACATGGCGATCTGATCAAGAATATATGAGGTTTATGTGTTATCAAATATTTACATTTGCTTAAATGTAATAGTAAAATAAAAATGTAGAAAATTAAATTATTTTCCATTATTTTGAGTAAATGAAATATAATATCTTCATTTCACAGCAGTGGCGGCAATTCTTTTCAGATTCGCAATCGGATTAGAAACTTCAATTGATTTTAGATATACATAAATCTATTTTTAGACGGGAAACTAATAATTGATAGCCACAACATGCATATGTTCTCGATATTGCTGTTCCTTAAATATTTTAACAGAATTCACAATATTTTATTTATGTATACTTACTCAATCGAAAAAGTAACACTTTATGCTTAAATGAACTATATTTGAAAATAATAGTTTTAATTTCGACAAGAACCCGATTTTTGTTCTTCGAAGGAAGACGATGTGTTTGCGCGTAAGAGCTCATGGTCACATGACTTGACGCTCAAGGATTTATAGTTTAAATTTTACTTTTACTATTACCTGTTCATTAGCTGTGCTTGTTCTGCTAAAACTTTTTTTAAATTTGCTGAAACGAATATAAATTTTCATTGTAAGGAGCATCCTTAACTGTACCTATGCATTATGTTTGAAGAGATAAGATAATCCTCATCCTCAATCAATATCGAAGCTGTTCCCATGTCTTGATTTCCTAGCCAAATAAATGTTAGAATTCGTTGAGGGTCGGACGGCTCGTACTAGATTCGAGATCTAGGAACGTGTTTTTGATCGGCAAACGAATCTACTCCTTAGCAACAACCTTGAGCTTAACACTTGGTCATGCATAGTGCAGAAATCAATAGAACGTTTATCAGCGTAAGCAATTAGCTCAACATAGCACTGAACCCATATATTATCGCAACAAGTGAGAAACTTTTACTAGTACAATCTTTTAGAATAACGGGATAGACATCCATAAGCTTATACTCTATCAACTTTCATTTATCAGCCGTATTTATGCCATCAGCGTCATTTTCATCAATGACATTATAATAGAGCCTTTTTTAGGACCAGTTTTGCCCAGGTTATATCGGACTTGAGAGCTAGAAGGTTACTGGGTGTAACCGAACTATATATATATCTCCCAAGTATCTCAGATGCCGCTTAGCGTGCTTCAATAAATTATCCACGAAGGCGAATCTTAACGCATAGAGGATGCAGAATTTTTGGATGTCGGTACCTCTTTTTACCGCTAGAAGGGAACACTATAACGTAGTGTCATTCTTTCAGGAGTTGAATAATACTGGAGATAACGGGGTTTTCCTCTTTGGATCTATGGTATTCTGTTATAGCAAAAGAGAATAAGAGAGATCTTGACACGGCATAGGTTAAAAGGTATATAGATACTACATACATATACAGTGGCTCACAGCTATTTCGTGCAAGTAATATTTTTATATATTTAGTCGTGAGTTTTAAAATGTTATTCAAAATAAAAAATTTTAAATATGCAACTTTGAAGAATGTTTAATTCGTATTATAAAACAAAAAAAAATTGACAAAAATATCAATATTCAAGGAGTTAAGTGAACAAGAAGTGTATTAACTACACTTCGTGGTATTTAATTTTTTTGTGGCAACGAAACTTTTACTGGATCATCAAAACAGTTGTGTTATATACAGATGCTTAAACCCTTAGGTTTTAATATTTGTTTGAAAAAACGCAATTTGTTATAGGTTGGCAGTTTAAATTTACGGTCAATAAGATACCTAAAAAAGTGTAAAAAGTGTAAGTCGACTTCTAATTTTTTCATCTTAACATAGCCTTTCATTACAATTTCACATGACATATATCTTAAGCTAAAATGCATATACCTTCTGCTCGAAAAGTACTCGGATTTTGTAAATAAAACACACAAATTTAAATTTTATTCCAAATTTTTTTATCTCCTTCAAAATATCCTTTTTCTGAAGCGATAGACATATACCAACGCTTAACCCAATCTTCCATACACTTTTCGTAGGGCCGTGAAGGTATGGCTTTTAGTTCCTTCAGCGAATTCTCTTTTACCGATTCAATCGACTCAGTTTGAGTTTCGGGAACAGGAAAAAGTCGCACGGATCCAGATCTGGCGAATATTGTGCCTGAGCGATGACAGTGGTGCCGTGTTTAGTCAAAAACTCGCGTACAACAAGAGCCGTGTGCGATGGAGCATTGTCGTGGCGAAGAATCCAATTGTTGGCTTTCCACAAATCTGGTATTTTATTACGGATGGACTCACGCAAATGCCGCATAACGACGAGGTAATATTCTTTGTTGA